CCCTCACCCTTTAAGGAGTTGCAGCTCTCTGCCCCCACCTGTAATTGATATTCCATGTCCTAGCTAGGACAATCCAGCCCTGGATAATAAATCCTTATTGGAGTCCAGTGGGAGCTTTTGGTGCTTTCTCTCTGATCCCTCTTGCCAAAAATGGAGAGAACATGAGAGGAGGTGAGGGGTGAGCAGGAATGAAGAGGGAGATGAGGGAGGGGATGGGTGGGGGATGAGAGATCAGCTCCCCAGGCCTCGGGCACTCTCCTACAAGGTGCAGACTGATTTCATGGTGCAAGCACATAAACAGTGCCCTGAAACTAATTATCAAACATATTAAATAAAAGAAACATTTTCCTGGAGATAACAACCAACGTTCAGACCATTTTTTAAAAGAAAAGCTAAACATTTCTGCCATAAGACTTAACACTCATTATGAAGTGGAAGCTTAATTATTTTTCAAACATGTTGTCTTTTTTGATTTTTAAATCATCTATGATTTACCACGTGTATTTTTTGTGTCCCAGTGCATCCCTAAATAAACACAAAGGTCCCGTGTGGCAGCTGAGGTGGGTGGAACAGGACAGAGGTGACAAAAGAGAGAGGCTGATGTGCATCTCAGGAGATGGGAGAATGACCCAGTGGTTCATCCAGCAGAGGCTGGATTGCTTTGGTGAGCACCTGGAACTGCTCCCTTTGATCCTATTCTTTCCACCAGACATCCCACAGAACATTTCAGAGCTGCTGGGCATCCCAAATTCCTCACCCCTGTTTGATAAAACCTCCTGCTCTTCACACAGATGTGATGAAAATCAAGCGAACACAAAGTGGCAAGAAAAAATTACCAGGTGAGAGAGAAAGGAAAAGTGAAGGTCCCATATCCCAAGAGGCAGCTGGAATGTGCTTTGACTTCCATCCAGAGGTAGGCTCAGAAAGCCCATCCTGGCTGAAATATTAGCCAGGAAAACTCTGCAGCAGAGGTGGGATACTCACCTGGAGCTGTTTTTAATGGCAACCAGCCAGGGACTTTGGTGCTGCTATTTAAAGCATATTAATTTTGAAATAAATTGATTTCTAGCTACTAAGATTTACCCCAAATGAAATGGTAAAATAAGCCTTGTCCTCCTGATGCCTGAAGAGAGGCTGCCTGGAACAGAGGCTGGATAAAGGAATAAATTTGGGATTTATGAAAAACCCTTCAAAGGATTCACCTTGGGCAGTGCAAGAGCTCAGCCATGGTTACACCCAAGATGGACCCAAGTCAGGAGTTTTCACATTTTTATCAGTTTTGGGTCCATGGTCCAATCCCAGCTCCAGGTTCTGCAGTCCCAGCCTCCCAGATTCTCTCCTCTTTTCTCTGCTGTTTGCACTTTTTTTTTTCCCAAGATTTTTTAGGAGTCAAATCCCAAGCATGTTGTTGGAGAATATACCCACCCACCTCAAAGTTCACCCCAAATTTCACCCAAATTTCACCCAAATATGGCCAAAGGGACAGGGATAGAGGACAGGGAACAGGGATAGGGATGAGGGTGAGGTTTTAGGGACAGGACAGTGCAGCTTTGTGGTTCCACTTGACTCCCAGGAGCTCCTCCCGGGCCCTGGATGATTTCTGCAGGAGTGATAAATTCACCCAGCCTAGGCTGCTTTTCCCTTTCTTGCAGGATACTGACATTTTTCTTGCTGGAACAGAAGAGGGTCTCATCCACTGCTGCTCGCGCTCAGGCAAGGAGCAGATTTTGGGGACATACAGAGGCCATAAGGTGAGTGACAACTCAACAAGGACAACAGGAACTGCTCAATTCAAAAATATACATTCCTTTGCTTCTATTTAATAAAGATCTGCAACAAAAGAAACAGAAACTTCTTCTCTAATATTAGCAATGAATTCCCATAGCATAAAGCATCACAGTTTTACATCACAGTTTTACAGGATTACTTTCTATGCTGTCAGGATTTATTTTCAAGTAATTTTTTCAAATTGGTACTACAAAGTGTTTTAAAGCTTTCATTATTTTAAGACAGCAATCAGAAATCTGTAGAGTTAAATATTCTTACCTGTGAGAGGAAGGCTGGCTAAGTCTAGAATAGATTCTGTAGCTTTACAACAACACCAAATTCTATTTTTTTTTTTTTTTTCTCTCTCTCTCTCTCCAAACAGGGCCCTGTGTACAAAGTCGCCTGGAATCCCTGCAGCCCGGCCACGTTCCTCAGCTGCTCTGCAGACTGGAGCATCCTTTTGTGGCAGCGCCGTTCCCGCAGTCCCCTTTTAACTTTCACTTCTGTCGCTGCTTCTGTTCACGACATCAAATGGGCGCCACAATCACCTTTGATCTTCGCGGCAGTGAACGAGAGGAGGGTGGAGATTTGGGATCTGAGCGTCAGCGTGTGAGTATTGGCTCCTCTCAAGGAAAAGGCAGAAATTTAATTGGCACACATTGTGACCCCATCAGTGTTTTTATGGGGTCATTACAGCTCCACGCTTTTCCTGCTCCAACCATTGCATTTTTGTGGCGGTTGGCAGAGATTTGGGGTTAGAGGAGAAGGAGCTGGATGCCTCATGGAGCTGATAAAGTACAAAACTGCCCTTTTTCTGCAGAAATTGTGGCAGAATTCGAAGGAAAAGTAACAAAATTGAGCTGCTTTGGTAAAGATTGGATGGTCTGAATTCAGTTACCTGTGACCTTGTGCAGCTGCTCTGGGTTTTGTGTCACTGACAGTGTGAAGCCCTGCTGGATCCAGAGCCCTGAAAATTATTCCTCTAATAAAAATATCAACCACCACTCTCCAGGTTAGGACAGGTTTTAGGCAAGCAGGATATTTCAGTTAACAAGAGCTGGGATTTTTCTTCTGGCAGAACCCAAACCAAACACTGCCTCACCCCCCCAATTTCTGAGATAACCTAGAGCACAGAAAGTGCACCGTGCATCTTTAACCCGTTAATTCTTAATTAATTAACCCATTAATTTTTGGATTGCAGCTTCCATCCCGTGCTCTGCTGTGCTGCCAGCCCTGAGGGCAATCTCAGCTCGCTCCTGTTCACCAGCAATGCCGAGTGCCTGCTCCTGGGGGACAGCCGTGGCCAGGTGGGGGTGTGGCAGCTGCACTACCTGGCTGTCCCCAGCACCGAGCAGGTACGTGCTCAGACAGAGGGCCTGGCTTCATTCCTTAGCATGGCAATTCTGGGAAACAGCCAGCCAGGGAATATCGGGATAGGTGGGATTACAATTCCAGCACCGGGTTAAAACGTGGTGGTTGATGCTCTTGGTGCTGCCACACCATTGGAAATTAATTTCCTTTATAAACAAAAGAAATGTTTGCATGCTGCCAAATGTGACAGCACCAATGCAACCCAACCTGGCCTGCCAAAAAGTGCTATTTTCCAAATAATTCCAAAGAAGAATCAGCTCTTTTTTTCTCTTTGTTTTCCAGGTTGTTTCCTTGTGTGACATTGTTGCTCCTGCTGGAGCTGTTTAACAGTAGCTGATCTCCCCTGTCCTTCAGGAAACACTTGCTGTAGTATGAACATAAACTGGTTAGCTTTTTTTTTTTTAATCAATAAAGTTCCTCTTTGAAGCCACACTGCTTAGAAACTTCTTTCAAATGCCCTCAATTTCCTCCTGGAAGTCCCCTCATTGTACAATCAGAGTTCATACATGGGTGACCCTTTCTGGAATCCTCATCATGGGAAGTCTCTGAGTCTTTTCTCCTTTATCCCTTTCTGCTTTTCCCCTAAAGTCTTTTCTCCTTGAGTTGAAAGCAGGCAGCTTTGGCTGCCTAAAATGGCTTTTTTAGGGGGGCAGAGCAGAAAAAAAACAGAAAAAAAAACCAAACAAACCCAGCTGGAAGATTTTGTGCCCACAGGAAAGAGGGAGCATCTCCAGAGGAGTGATGGAGCACAAGTTGTAGCCCTGCTGCTGAGCACATTACTGCAAAGGAAAGGTGTATTTTATAGATGCAGAACATCCAGCCTCCCTCATTATCCTGACAATAAACACCCAGCACTCAAACACATCACTGAATTAAGGATCATTTGTGCTGCATTAACATCCACTTCCTTCTGTGTGCTGCACATCTCACAGGGGACAGGCAAACTTCCCCCCTGACATAAAATTCAGCTTGGTGTGTTTCAAAAGAAAGCCACTCGTTAAGGTGAATCATTTGTTAATCATTATTATAAATCTGGACCAAAATACACCTTATATTTTCCATTCATGCCCACGACTGTTTGCTTACTGCTAAAAAGCAACCTTTCTCTAACACATCATAACCCACCCTGCACACAGTGAAAATTAATTACCTGTAACATTATGGTGCTGGAAAATCCTTGTGGTGCTAGGAAGGGCTCAAGATCTCCAAAGTTCCTCGTGTTATTTTGTTCTTTAACATGGAATTTCTGACCATATAATCGAGACAGTTCTTCCTAGAGGCATTTTATTGCAAGGATTTTTTATAGAAATGTAAATACACTGAAGCCAACATTAGGAATCAATAAGTCAGAACCAAGCTCTGCTCTCAGAGCAGACTCAGATCCATGAGCTGTAGGATCATGTCTTATTTCTTGGCACACTGGGAATCCTGGCTGGAATATCAATATCTGCCCCAAACCCCCTCTGGAGTGGATTTTCTCAGCAGAGTTTTCCCCACAAGCACCCACAGCTAGCAGTAAACACGGTGGGGGAATGAAGAGGTGCACACAGACATCACAGGAAGGAGTTAATTCCGTTTATCAACACAAAAAGACCCCAGTCAGGACTGGGCATCAGGGAACACAGACACCAAACCCATGAAGGTCACAAACACCCTTTTGTTCAGGATTACCTGCATCCACCTAATCCAGACCCCATAAACGTGTCACACCTCAGGTGTTCCCAGTAAAGCAGCTAGGTAGACTTCAGAAATCTTTAATACCTGCCTAACATCCCAAAGCACTTCAAACATGACCAGAAACAAGCAGTTTATTGGTTTTAGCAAACATTTCCACCCTCGGAGTGAGCTGTTACTCAGTGGAGTGGACACACCATCAGTATAAATGGGAAAGCTCCAGCAGAATTCCCCACTGGATCCCTTCTGCCCTGCCCACACGCAGCTGGGGAGCAGCCACGTTGGCAGCATGAGGGGCACGGTGCTGGCACTGGGCTGCCTTGTTCTCCTGCTGCTGGCACGGCAGGGGGAAGGGGAAGGGAACAAGGTGAGGCTGTGTGGGAGAGATTTCATCAGAGCCGTGGTGTTCACCTGCGGAGGATCACGCTGGAAAAGGCACCAGGAGCTGCAGGGTGAGTACCAATAAAACACCCCAGGCTCTTTCCCTACCTGCTGCACCCGGATCCAGGGGATCCCAGGGGATCCCAGGGGATCTGAGGGCACTGGGAAGCAGCACATCCCCTGCTCCCCTCAATCCCTGCAGCGCTGGGAGGCAGCCAGAGAGCGGCTGCAGCTCCTCGTGTTCCCTCTCCCTGCAGCTTGTCTGGCTCAGCTTCCTGGGCTATTTTGCTACATAAACAAAAACAATTTAGACCAAAATTTTCCAAACTCACCTGAGGAACAGGATTCAAGGCAATGCTATCACTGAAAAAAATCTCTCAGCCATCACATTTCAAGTGACAGAGACAAGTTTGGCTGAAGTCGGTGCGAGTTTCTCACTGCTGTCTTCACTTTCCCCACTGGAAACCAGAAACTTGATAAAACTTTGTAATTAAAGCACGTTGAAGATCTACTCTGCAATTTAAGCACCTTCACGTGCTTTTGTGTGTATTTATACTTATTAGCAGATTTTTTGATTCTCAGAAAATTTTGACTCGACAGTCAGAAAATTCAAGCGTTGCATGCCCAGCTAGAAATCTGTAATCTGACAGATGAAAATAGAGAGAAATAGAAAAATAGAGAAAAATAGAAATAAAGAAAAAGAAAATGAAAATGAAAATAACTGAGGCAGATGACAGCAACAGAGGCTTTCTGCACTTCCTACATCTGCATTTTTGGAGAATTATCTTGTAGCAGCAGCTTTAAACAAATCCAAAAGTGGTAACATGGGCAACCCCCTCCCCAAAATCTGTTGAAGAACCTTGCTTTTAAAAAGTGAGAATTACTACACCCTTAAAGACTGCACAAGGCCCAGCTGTGCTGAGGTGTTTCAAGTGCAGCTGGATGATAATTCCTGTGGGAACACCCGGAATTTTGGGGTAGCTGATGCTTTCATGCAACACCTGCAATTCAGGAACCCCCCCAGGTCCAGCTTAACGTGCTGGTCAAGAGCCTCTGACACATCAAATGCCAGTTTTTCCTGGAGAAGCAAATATATCAGTGTGAGGCTCAAGGCAGCACAGGACACTCCTCAGTGTAAATCCCTAAACTACTCAGTTTTACCACAATGATCACAGAGATGTGGTGCCCATATCAAAGGCTAACACCCAGCTCCCTGGCTGTACCTTGGTCTATCTTTCAAGTAAAGATAAAAAGCAGAAATTACTCATATTTTCACGATTTTTAACTTTCAGCTTCTCATTTTCCTGTGGCAGAGGGTGAAAACCCCCAGCACTTCCCACACGAGGACGAGGGTGACGCCGATTTCTCATCACAGCCAGAGCTGAGGTTGGGGATCCACAGCAAAGAACCCCAGCACGTCAAACCTGAGCAAGACTTGCAAAACAGCAGCAAAATTTCTGTGCTAAACAAACGTGAGGCAGCTGATCTGCTGGCCACATCCTGCTGCACCGTGGGCTGCAGCAGGAGGGAGATCAGCTCCCTGTGCTGAAATGCAACAGCTCAGCGTGCCACAGCTCCCAGGGATTAAAGTAATCATGACATAAACCACGATTCTTCCTGTTGTGTTCTTTAATTGTAGCTTTTGGGTGTTAAATGTCACACTGCACACCAGCAAGTGGCTTCAGGTTGTCTGCATTTCACAGTGTTTACAGTGGGTTAAACTTTAAGTCACGAGTACATGAAGTTATTTCTTCCCAGCTAACTCCTGTTCTGGTTTTAGCTTTGCACCTAAAATGTAATAAAATAAGCGATTTGTGATAGATTTGTCCTCTGAGTCAGGAAAACCTAACAGCAGGTTTCAGCTGGGAAATAGGGGCAGCAAAAGATCTGGTTTCAAATTCAGAGCAAGCTCAGCCAGACCCCACCTAAACAGGGAATGGCTGCACCAGGAGAGACTCAGGACCATCAGCACCAGCCCAAAACCAGGCAGGCAAAACCCATGGTTTATTTCCTACTCCAGATGCTTCCAGTAATGTTTCCTGGAGGGGAACAGGGAAAACATTGCTTAGAGGGAATATTCTGAAAATATTTCCTCTCCAGGGCAATTTCTGAAAGCAGCAATCAGCTGCAAAACTGTGTCATAGAAAGAGAAAGTAACTTCCCAGAGAAAACTCTGGGAAAGACCCTTATTCCATTCACCCAAAGCAGGTGAGAACACCTTGGTCCTTCACAGATCTTTTCAACAACAGAGACAAGAAGAGCTGTGCTGAATATCCATTTCTCCTGCTGTTCAACTCCACTACCTCCCTATTCAAAATACACACCATAGACACTTGCCACAGCAAACAGGGAGGTGTTTTTGAACACACAGGAGGAAAATGTGTCACTGCCAGGATCCCAGAGGCACCTGCTGCTGATCTGCAGGCTCTGCTCACCCAGCTGCCCAACGTGTGCCACCACCACGATCTTGTACCTGGGCACTGCCAGCGCTTTGACCCGAGCCTTAACAGCCTGCAGAGAAAAACAAATTTCATCCACAAGAGCTCCAAAACGGGGATGGATTTATAGCAGGGCAAGGGGAATGGTATTGGACTGACCAGAGGGCAGGGATGGATGGGATATTGGGAAGGAATTGTGCCAGGAGAGGCCCTAGGAATTGTTCACAGGGTGCCCAGAGCAGCTGTGGCTGCCACATCCCTGGCAGTGTCCAAGGGCAGGCTGGAACAGCCTGGGACAGTTGAAGGTGTCCCTGCCATGGCAGGGATGAGGCTGGATGAGCTTTAAGGTCTCTCCCCACCCAAACCAGTCTGTAAATCTATTAATTAACTCATATATATCTGTATCCGCTCTGAGCAACCCTGGCCAGCACCTCGACAGCCACCCCCAGCCTTTACCTCACACTTTACTGGCGTTTTGGGGGGATATTTGGGGCACCCTGTGCAGGCATGAGGACGAATGTCCTACCTCAGAGACGTCCCTGGCCGCCCCCGGCCTTTACCTCACACTTTATGGGTATTTTGGGGATATTCGGGGCACCAATGTCCCACCTGGGCGATGTCGCAGGCCGCCTGCCGGCACGGCCCCGGCTCGTAGCGCCGCTCCCTCAGGGCGCTCCCCAGCTCTTCCCTCAGGATCTCCTCCACGGCCGCCGCCGGGAAGCGCCCGCCAGGCCCTGCGAGGCACAGCTCGACTTTATGGAGGAAAATCCGCACGTGTTGAAGGGTTTTTGAGGGGAAATCGAGACCCACCCGAGCCGGGCCTGCACGGGGATTCGCCGCCCTCCATCGCCCTCAGCTGCGGAGGGGAGCGGGGCCCGCCCGCCCATTCCTGATCCCGCCTCATTCCCGATCCCGCCTCCATCCCCCCTCATTCCCGATCCCGCCTCATTCCCGATCCCGCCTCATTCCCGATCCCGCCTCCATCCCTCATTCCCGATCCCGCCTCCATCTCCCCTCATTCCCGATCCCGCCTCA